GGAGCAGCCACGTTTGCCTCTCCAGGGCTGAGTTGGGATGGAGCTCAGGAGAGCTGGGGGTTGTTCCTGGAAAATCAGATGTTCTCTGCTCTTTTTTAAATTTTTTAAATGCATTTTTTAACTTAACCAATTGTGGAATATTTGGGGTAAAGATGAAAGGAGCCCTGCAGGGATGAAGGGGTTCAGTGGGAACAATCTAGAAAATTATGCAGAATAATCAAAACTGAGCCCCAGCTGTTTGTTTTCCCCCAAATCCCTGGAATAAACCTGTGGAGGAGATCAGCTCCTTCACCCACCTGGAGAAAAGGAGGCTCGGGGGGGCCTTTTTTCTCCACAGTTCCAAGGCAGGAAGGTGCAGCCAGGTGGGGTTGGGCTCTGCTCCCAGGGAAAAGGGACAGGACAAGGGGAAATGGCCTCAGGCTGGACATCAGCAGGAATTTCCCCATGGAAAAGCTGGCCAGGCCTTGGCAGGGGCTGCCCAGGGATGTTTGGAGTGCCCATCCCTGGAGGTGTCCAAAGAAACCCTGGATGTGGCACTCTGGGCTGGTGACAAGGCGGGAATGGGTCACAGTTTGCACTTGATGATCCTGGAGGTCTTTTCCAACCTCAGTGATTTTGGGATTCTGTGAAATGCACCTGGCAGTGCACAAAAAAAGGGCCAGGCTTGGGCACAGCACGGATTTTCCCTGGCTGTTGATCAGTGCTGGGTACAATTTGTTGAGCTCAGCGCTGGGTTGTGCTGAGGAACCCAACATTCCCATATCTGAATCCCAATCTAGGATTCAGCTCCCACAGATGCCATCTGGAACCTCTGATATCAGACCTATCATGACATGAAATTGTTGTTTCATTGTCATTCCCTGGTCATTTAACAACTGAAAAAACCCACTTACCTATCTTTTGATGATTCTTCTTGAAATATGAGGTCAGTCAGAGGAAGGATCAGCTTCACTGTTAATTAAAATTTAATCAGCACTGCCCTGCTTGTCCTATAGAATAAATCAAATTAACCATGTTCAGTAGTAAGGTATCTTTATACTTGTATCCTCTGGAAATTTTCACAGGTTGTGCTCCAATAAACCCAGTTTTGCTCTTCAACTCAGTTGGAATTCCTGTTCCTTAAGTGCAAAAGAGGCTAATCATAGAGCAGAAAATAATTTGACTTGCTAATACTGGGTGAGAAAACATTTACTGCAACCGCAAATATTTTCAGGATGATGGAGTATCTCATGCTCATGAAAGCTTGGTTCTGGTGACATGTTTGAGTAGGGAGGGCTGCACTTTCTAGCAGAGGAAACCCATGTCAACTGCAGCAGGCAGTTCCCTCTTCTCCTCCAAAAACTGGAGCAAAAAAAAATAATGTTGGCAGAGGAATCAAAATCCTCCTCTTTAGTCGAGTCTGCCACCAGGTTTCTTAGGCATGAACTCCGGAAAATCTTTATTAGGCATAAAAAAATAAAAAAGAAATAGAGGGGGAGATGTGTCTTGCAGACAGAAGGTGCATTCTGAGGTTAGCAAAAAGATGAAATATAAATACCTCAAGTGGAGCCGTGCTTTTCCAGCTATTCTTCTGATGGTTCCTAGCTGGGAGCCAGCGAAAAATGTCATTTTGGTGGGTGACAAATCCACCCCTGGTGCCATCAGTGGCCAGTCATTGGCTGTGCCCCGTGGGAGCACCCACAAATTGGCATTTGTTGGGTTGTTGGATTGTTGGGTTGTTGGGTTTGTTATCGTGGTGGGAGCTGCTGAGCACACCCTGCTGCCTCGTGGCTGCTGGAGACAGGGCAAACCTGCCCCCAAAATACTCCAGCTCCTTCTGTTGGGTGACAAATTGTGTTTTTTTCTTTTCCCCCCCTTTCATGTTTTGCTCCCCCACCACCGCCGTTTTTTTGATTTTTGGATGAGAAAGCCCCGTTTTCATTCTGGAGCTTTCATTTCATTACATGAATGGCCTTGCTTAGAAATTGATTCTCCTTGGAAAAATCCCCAAACTTTGCCTCCCTCTGTATATCCAGGGTTTTCATTTCAGGGCAAGAGGGAATTGGCTTTAAAGTGACAGAGAATAAGGCTGGATTAGAGATTAGCAAGGAATTCTTCTCTAGGAGGGTGGAGAAGCTCTGGCACAGGGTGCCCAGAGCAGCTGTGATCCCTGGAAGTGTCCAGGGCCTTTCTTTTGATGATTTCTCTTTTAAATTTTTATACCCGTTTTACAAAATACACTGAGCCAGTTAAAGTTAAAGCCTAAAGAGAACCTCAACCACCTCTTCTGTATTTTTTCCCCTTCTTTCCAAAACTGAGGTTTTGGGATCTATGGGATCAGGGGTCCTCTGCTGCTTGCAGAGATTTTTTTTCCCAAAACTGAGGTTTTGGAAAGAAGGGGAAAAACACTCTGCAAACAGCAGAGGACCCCTGATGCCATAGAACCCAGCAGGCTGCAATGAGCCTCACCCCATGGTGATCAATCCCTGAGCTCCTCAAGGGAGGTTTTTATCCTTTAGCAGAATTTGAGCTCGGCTTAGCCAAGCTTTGAACCGATGTTCACGTGAGTATCTCAGTGTGTTTTGTTCTGCTGTTTCCCCCTTTTAGGTGACAGCGAGATTGTAAATAATATGTACGAGACCGACCCCGATCTCCTTGCTGGAGAAAGCGCAGAGGAGGAAACTGAGGACAGTATAATGTCCCCCATCCCTGTGGGACCTCCGTCACCCTTCCCCACCAGTGAGGACTTCACTCCCAAGGAGGGCTCACCCTATGAAGCTCCCGTCTACATTCCTGATGACATTCCAATCCCACCAGATTTTGAACTCAGAGAATCTTCGATCCCAGGGGCAGGGCTAGGGATTTGGGCCAAAAAGAAGATTGAAGTTGGGGAAAGATTTGGACCCTATGTGGCAGTGCAGAGGAGCACATTAAAGGAAACAAACTTTGGATGGGAGGTAAGCGTGTGGAACGTGGGCACCGCGTTCCTTTGTCTTCTCTGCCAAGTGTTCCTGGAGCTGGCCTGGGGACAGAGGTGGTGACTTTGCTGATCCTGCATTTCCCTGAGTAACTCCCCACCCCCATTACCTGAAGGATTTAAAAATCAGCAGAAATCCCTTTTAAAGTTCACTTCTTGGGCCACAAGAACTGCTCGAGCACTGTTTTGGAAGTCTGGTTTTTGAATGGTGTCGGGTCACTTCATCAAGCGCTTGTCATTTCCAAATTGTGTTTGGGAGTTGTCGCGTGGAGGGAATGGGATTAATCCCATGTTTGGTGGTTGGGGGTGTTACCTTTGACTCCCAGCCCGTGTCAGCAATGCAGGCATTATTAACTGGGCAGGGAAAAATAGCATGTAGCCATTAACAGCCCCCATGTTCTCGAGTTCTCGTGCTGCAGCAAAGATGGAGAAATGTGAAAGTCATTTTTTCCCCAAGAGCTGAACAAAACCCAGCCTTCAGCAGGGAAAAAATGCTCTGTCCCACAGCTTCCATCTTCCCTTTCTCCCAGCTTTTCTGGGCTTGTCCCAGAAATCATCTTAGCTCTTATATTCTTGATTAGAGAATATCTAGATCCATAATTACCCTGGAATATTCATTAACAGCGAAGTGAATCCTGGGATTTCTGCTCTGGAATCACAGTCCTATCCCAATATATATAATTCCTTCTCTCTCCTCCATCCTAACATTCCATCCCCTGCTGGCTCTTGTCCTGAGGCTGTGTCTGGGGCAGTGGGGGCAGAGAGGTTTCCTGGCAGGATTTTGCTGTAGGATTGGTGAAGTTTATCCCAAAAAGTGGGAGCTGAATTTTCCCTCATTTTTCCCTGGGTGAAGCAGTCCCTTGCCCCGTTTTCTCCATCAGCCACTACTGGGGTGAACTGGTTCCCAAAATCCTGGAGGATTCACAGGGTGGAAGCAGGGACTGTAAGGTTTTCCCAGAAGAAGGCACCAGTGCAGTGACAGAACCCTTTTTTCTCAGAAAAATAGGTCAGAAAGGGAAGTCTGAAGCAGTTTTAAATTTCTCTGATTATATTTGCACTCTTGATTGTGAAGTCAAAAATCAGTGAAGCCCAGAGAAGCAGGTCCAAATGTTTTTGTTTTGTTTACTTTTTCAATGTGTCTGAAGTGCAGGAAACAGCAAAAAACCTCCTGTTTTAACAACAAAACTCGATTGTGTTTTGTTGCTGTGCATAGGAAGTGTCTGAAGAGCTGAAATCAGAGTTTGGTTGAATGACTGAGTGGAGAATTTCCTCTTCCTTCTATCCTAGTGCAGGAAAAGGAAGGTAATTCAGCTGAGTTTTGATCCTCTCTCCCCTCAGTGACATTCCTCAGAAATTCCTCATGGTGTTGGTTTTTATTGTGAATATCATGGCAGAATATTTGATTGGTAGTACTGTACGGGCATCAAAAGTGAGGGTTTTGGGGGGAAAAATTCCTTTTATTTTACTGACAATACATGACCTGCTTCAGGGGAGCTGTGGGTGTGAGGAGCTTGAGATTCCTGAGGAAGGTGTTGATTGTCTCTGAAAATAAGGATAATTGTCTGATTGTCTCTGAAAATAAGGATAATTTCCCTCTAGGAATATGCCATATTAATTATTTGTAGGCTGCAATGTGAAAGATGAATCCTCTTTTTTTGGACCCAATAATAGATAGGTGGCACTTGTTGTTTCAATGCATATTTTTGTTTGTTATTTTGTTTAAAGGCTGATTCTTAGGAGCAAACTGCAATCCTCATTGGCTGGCAGGAGTTGAACAATACAAACCTTTTTTCTCTGACCTTGGCAAAACATTGTCCTTGCGTTCATAATTCTGATAAAAGTTGCTATTTGCACTCATGATTTTCAGAAAGGTTCCTCACATCCCCACAGCTCTGGCTGCTCTGATAGGAGCTCCATTTATCAATTCCCGTTGACTTTGTGATATTGTTTGTTTTTGGAGTGTAATTGAGCAAACTTTCCCTCTCTGGGCACTTCTCCTGTTCCAGCAGTGTTCCTTTGTCCCCAGGGACATTTCACACCTCAAAGGAAGGGCTTTGTCCCCCCTCAGGTGTCCCCAAACCCACCCCAACACTCTCAGCTTGTCCTCGCAGACACCTCTTGAATTTTCCCATTCCCCAGAGTGTTTGAGGACATTTCAGGCCTCTGTTTCCAGAAATTCATTCAGAATTTAATCTGGGAGCAGCATCCACAAATCCCTGCATGTGCTGGACAGGAATTCATGGAGCAAGCTCTGTCTGCTCAGCTCTGCCTGATGGCAGGTTGGGGATTG